AGAAAGGAATTCAATGATTCTTTCAGAGAACCCAGTGAAACTCACTACACAACCAGGGAAAGCTGAGAGGAGGGAGGAGTGAATGTAGCACGAGAAGCCCGTGAGGAGAAGTGTCCCCTTGGGTCCAGGCAGGGACAGATTCTCACATGGATGAGAAGATGGCTGTCTACATCGTGTTCTCAGGAAATCAGGACAACTTTTCTTCCCCAAATCGTGTTTCTCTACCTTTACCTTCTCTAAAATGCTTTAAATTATGTATCAAGGACAAAAACTGTGTTTCCACAAATAACTTTTTTGAACGTTGGTGCCTAAACCAACTTAACCACAATGTACATAGATAATATTAGCTCCTTTCCTGGAAGCAGATTTTCAGGTATAGAAGATTAAATTAGAATACAGGCCCAGCTGATGCAACAAAGGCCAAAATAAAGTAACTTATCATATAGTTCAAATATCAGCAGATCAGGGCTCCATACTATTGGCGTCTTAGGTATCTGATTGCTGTGCACCCTAAATACCCTCTCTTATTTGTGGTCTAAGACATATTTCACACATACAGCAATCCTGACAACAATCCTTCCAATTATCTCAATTTCATTAATTGAGATGAGGCACATAGAGTAGAAATGGCATGTCTAATGTCATATAGTTACTTAGAGGAAGAATCAGAAACAACCTATGCTTCCTAATTCTTAATTCAGCTCTCTTTCCACAGAGTTCTTGAAGTGACATAAAAGCAGGAAGAAAAATAAATATTATGAAGATAAATTTTCCAGGATTTCTAGTTTTTCCTGAAGTTTATCTGGTTATAAGGAGTATTTTCCAACAAACAGGAAAAAGGAATGCTAGACTTAACTTTTCTTTAAGTCAAAACAGAACTTCTAAAAAGGCACAGTTGCTGCCTCTTAGCCACCTTAAAAAGGAGGGAAAATATGAATTCCCATTTCCCCTCATAACTCTCCTCCCATCACCACCACCAATCACTACCACATGACAAAAGATTACTATCTAAGGGCTAGCTTAGCCTTGGAGAATTTTCCTGAGAAGGAGATAATCTTGGGTGTTGTATCTCTTTGACTAAGAAGTAGTTCCATTTGGGTGGGGAAATGATATCAACACGTGTGCAGCCTGGGGAATGACTGGAGGGAAACGTTTGTTCACCACTGCATCTGCAGGGATGATACCGATGGCCAGCACATAGTGGAAACTCCACAAATAATCACTGAGTGAATAAGTGAATGGCTAAATGAACAAATAAGTCATAATTGTGTAAAAAGCCTTTTTTCCTTTGCAGGACTTCCATAAAACATATCAATAAGTATCAAAGGCAGAAACAGGCCACCCACAGCCAGGTCAATGGTGTAATGTGCTAAAAATATCCCAGGGGACATGAATTTCCTTTGGAGTGAAATAATGATGGTGGCTGAGGGCTTACCTAGAATTATGGCAACTGTATACTTAAATCTAAAACAGATACCATGGTTTCTTGAATCCAAATGTATTTGGGACACTAATGGTACAGAGCACCGCCACTCTTAGACCTGAGTAAGTGATGTTCCTGCTCTGAGTTCTGTGCCTCCACCCCAGCCATCACTCAGCTGTTCCTATCCCTTTCCCTATGAGAAAATCACAGGACAAAGGAGACATGTCCCTTTAGAGTATAAATACTTCTTCTTGACCATACTCTGGGTACCCAGGATTTCAGAATTCCCTGTACAAACATCCCCAGACCCATTTTTAAGATCTGCATGAGCCTCTTTCAAGGTTTATCTTCCCAGAAGCAGTTATCCCACCAGTGTGCACAACTCTAGGCCCAGTGGGTGGCCAAAAGATCACTGTTTGCCTGGATTGTAGGCATGTGGGCTAAGGTGTCCACATCATTGTGTGTAAGGCTCCTCAAAGTATGTGAGGGAGTGAGGGATAGGAAAAGAAGCAGGTAAATTATAAGATACACACCAAAAGCTGCAGGGCGAATCTCCCTAAAGCAGCACATTTTCGCACAAAACTACAAAAATCAAGAGTTCAAAAGTGGATCTGGGTATATGCAGGAATTTAATGTACTATAAATGTGATATTTCAAATCCACAGGGCAAAAGTGAATTTTTCAGGAGGTGGTATAAGAATTACTGGTTATCCATGCAGGGAAAAAAATAAACAAATGTAGATCCCTGTGTAAAAATTAACTTATTTTGGGACATACTCCTCTTAACCATGCAGTTCAAAATGGAGCTGCTAACCTGCAGAATCCTCACTCCTACCACCAGCCACCAAAGTTTGAAGCCAAGCTGGGCTAATCCTAGCAGCCTGCACCCATGGCAACCGCTGATTATTCCAAGGAAGAGCCACCTTACTCACTAGGTCAAACAGAGCCCTTCCCAGGCACTCGAACTTGGGAAAGGATAAGGAGAGAAAAGTGCATCAAGTCCAGTCCCTCTGAAGAGCATACGTAAGATGTGAGCATAGGAACTGTAAGCAGCCATCCTTGTAAGAATTTCACATTTACACCATTCCTTGATTCAAAAATCTCCTCCCATTACAGACTGCTTCTATCTTCTTTCACAGCTAAGCTATTCCTATCTCTTCATCTCATAGAGCATTTTATGATTCTCTATCTTGGCACATACCAAACTGTTTAGAGTTGTCAGTTTATTGTTCACTCATACAACCAACACTTTTTTGACAGCACCCCTTTCTGGAGTTAGAGCTATACCATCACTAAAATCAGCCTCCTGCCTCAAGAAGCCTATAGACTGGCAGAGGGTGGAGTGGTTGGACCATGTGCCCTACAGACAGACTGCCTGGGTTGCAATTTGCCAGTTATTACCTTTGTGACCTCAGCAAGACACTTAAATTCTCTGTGCCTTTGCTTCTTCATCTATAAAGTGAAGCGGATGATAATACTTGTGAGAATTAATGTGTTCATTAAAGTTTGGAATCACACCTGGCACATAGAGATCAAGGATAGCTTCTTTCAATTCTTTTTTAAATTGACAAATAAAATTGTATATATGCTTAGAAAAATATAAAATCAATAAATTATAAGAAGCAAATATGGAGAAAAACAAATCATTCACCTATTAAAGGAAAATAAAAATATTGCAATTATTTATTACATATGTATATATGTATGGTATACGACATTATGCTTTGAAATATGTGTACATTGTGGAATGGCTAAATCAAGCTAAGTAACATATGCATTACCTCCCATACTTACCATTTTTGTGGTAAGAACAGTTAAATCTACTTTCAGCAATTTTCAGAAATTTCTGTTGCAAATACGTTGTTATTAGCTATCATCACCATTACAATAGATGTCTTGAATTTATTCCTCATATCTAATTTAAACTTTATATCCTTTGACCAACATCTCCCCAAGCCCCTCCCTTCCCCCCACAAGCCTCTGGTAACCACAATTCTACTCTGTTTCTATAAATTCAATTTTTTTATATTCCACAAATAAGTGAGATTATGTGGGGCATGTCTTTCTGAGCCTGGCTTATTTCACTTGACATAATGTCCTTCAGGTTCAACTGTTTTGTCACAAATCACAGGATTTCCTCCTTTTTTAAGGCTGAATAGTATTCCATTGTGTATGTATGCCACGTTTTCTTTATCCATTCATCTATTGACGGATACGTAGGTTGATTCCATATCTTGGTTATTGTGAATAGTACTGTAATAAACATGGGAGTGCAGACATCTCTTTGACGTACTGATTTCATTTCCTTTGGATATATGCCCAATGATGAGTCTGCTGGATCATATAGTAGTTCTATTTTTGGTGTTTTGAGAAACCTCCCCACTGTTTTCCATAACGGCTGTACATTCCATTATGGAATTTACAGTCTCACCAACAGTGTGGAAGAGTTCCCTTCTCTTAACTTTCTCACCAACGGTTGTTAAATTTTGCCATTTTGATGATAGCCAAACTAACAGTTTGTAAGGTGATATCTCACTGTGGTCTTAATTTGCATGTTCCTAATGATTAATGATGTTGAGCATTTTTTTATATACCTCTTGGCCATTCATATGTCTTCATTTGAGAAATGTCTATTCAGGTCCTTGGCCTATTTTTTAATCAGGTTATTTGGGTGTTTTTGGCATGTAAGCTTCTTAAACATTCTGAGTGTTAACTCCTTAGTAGATGCAGAGCTTACAAATATTTTCTCCCATTCCATACGTTTTCTCTTCACTCCGTTTATTGTTTCTTTTTGCTGTGCAGAAGCTTTTTAGTTTAATATCGTCCCATTCGTCTATTTTTGGTTTTGTTGCCTGTGCTTTTGGGGTCATATTCAAAAATTCCTTGCTTACTGTGGATGAAAAGCTTTCTCCTGGGTACTATGTTCACTCTTTGGGTGGCAGGATCAATAGATGCCCAAATCACAGCATCATACACTATGCTTTTGTAACAAATCTGGAATTGTACCCCATGATTCTAATTTTTTTAATGGTCGCAACAGGGTATGTAATGTTGCAAAATTATTATGATGATGACATTTCACCTTGGCATAAAAAGAAATGTCTGTTGAAAATAAAACTCTGCAAAAAGAAAGAGAGAGAGAGAGAGAAAGAGAGA